CCCCGCTTCCTCGGCGGCTCGTCGCCGTCCCGACGCCTAGGACCGGCCCGCGCGGACTGTTGACGGCAGCAGTTGGCTCCGGCAGCCGGCGCTCAGCTCAAGGACCCGGTACCGGCAGCGGCCATGTCCCGGCAAAGACGTCCGGAGGCGCGGGGCGGGGCTGGCCGGGCCGGCACTGCTCCCATTGGCCCGAGGCGCCCGCTCTGCCTAGGAGAGGGGCGAGCCCGCGCCAGACTACCAATCCCAGTATGCAACGGGCGGCCGGTTCCTCGACTAACCATCCCAGCGTGCACCCGAGTGGCTTTCCTCCCCGGACTACAGTTGTTCGCCGAGGCTCCTCCTGCATGGATGAGCTGCTTGCGGTTTCTCGCTGAGCTCAGGACTTCCTGGAGTCAGTCTTGCTTGTTCGCAGCACCGAGCCTCGGAGTTTGGTCTATCGGCGCAGTGGCGGCAGAAGAACCGGCTTCTTGCTTTCTTGCAACTAAGCCTATTCTAGGCGTAGCAAATGGCTCATGGGACTTTGTTGAAGGGTAGGTTGGAAGCAGACCGGTCTCCGAGGACAGGGCGATAGACTCCGGGAAGGAGGCTGTACTAGCTGGTTCTAGCTCCCTGGTTCGAGGTCAGGTCAGCAACCCTACTCCGTAATGGTCTGTGCTCTTGGCAGGTCACCTCTGTGGACGCTCGCAGCTACCCAGCCCACTCCAGAATAGATCCACCTGGAATGGCAGGCTGCGAGTTTGTAGAGACCTAAGACTCTACGCACTCCACAGATTTGCAACCTAATCCCAGAGCACCAGACCTTTCCTTGAGATTTCCCTGCTTCCCACCACCCGGCTTTGAATGCTTTTCCCGTTCTTGCCCTTTGGTGTGAACTCAGCAGAGTAGGTGAGGATCCTCAGTAAGAACTTAATTCTCTGGATGCAAGCAAGTTCTAATTCCAGCTGACCTCTGGAATCCCAGCGCAGCCCATTGGAAAGGAGTAACCTACTTGGACATTTTTCTGAACCAGAACCTAAGAGTTAGGCCTGCGTGGGCAGGATTTCCCATCACAGGACTCAGGTGAGAGAGTCCCCAACGATGTCTGGAAGCTCTCCTGTGCACTAGGTAGTGTGGACAGCAGATACAGAGTTAAGTCGAGTATAGGGATGGCAGTTCAGCATAAAGATAATAGCACTTGCCTCACAAGAAAAGCATTATTCGGCTTTGACCATAAAACTTTACCTCACAAAAAGTTTCTTATCCTGCCCTATAAATCCCCCCAAACCCCTGCACTGGACTTAACTGTTATGGGATATTTGTCCACTGTGTGAAAGTGTATTTTGCTGTGACTAGTTTAATAAAAAGCTGAACAACGCTCCCCTGTCCCAAAAAAGCACTAAGCCTAGCAGTGGTGGCACATGCCTTTAATATCAGCACTTGGGAGGCAGAGGCAGGCAGATCTCTGTGAGTTCGAGGCCAGCCTGGTCTACAGAGTGAATTCCAGGACAGGCTCCCAAACTACAGAGAAACCCTGTTTCGAAAAACCAAACAAACAAACAAAAAGCTGGCAGACCAATAGCTATGCAAGAAGTATAGGCAGAATTTCTGGGGAGAGAAAGGAAGAGGAAGAGAAATCTAGGTACAGGGGAGACACCAGGAGATGCAGAAAGGAAACAGGAGGTGCAGGATGGAAGAGAGGTATAACAAGTCTTTCTCTGACTCACCAGCCAGCTCCCAAATAATGACATGGAGACTTTTTATTAATTATGAAAGCTCAGCCTATAGCTTAGGCTTGTTTCTAACTAGTACTTATTAATTAAATTAACCAGTTTCTATTAATCTGTTATGCCTCATGGCTTTTTACCTTTCATTTCTTCTGTATGTCTGACTACCTCTGTGTTTCATTTGGCGTCTCTCTCATATGCCTAGATTCATCCCAAGTTCCTCTTTTTCTATCTCTCTTGCCTACCTATTGGCCATGCAGCTTTTTATTACACCAATCATAGAAATTCACAATAGTGCACAAATATTCCACAACAGAGTGGTAACACCATGTGATAGGACATAGGTTTATGTAAATGGGTTAATTTAAGTTATTAGAGATAGTTAGGAACAAGCCTAAGCTATAAGCTGAGCTTTCATAATTAATGAGAGTCTCTGTGTCATTATTCGTGAGCTGGCAGCCTAAAGGAAAGTCCAACTACATATAGCATCCAACATATTTCCACATAGAACCTGAGAAAGCTTTAAACAAAAGCTTTAAAAAAAGTTTTAAACACACAAACATGGAAGCAAACACAGCTTCCTAGTCCTGTAGTCTCTCAAGCAGGCCGCGGTGTATAGAACATGGCCCCCAGCCGCTGCCTTCTGGCTTGAGCCAGCCAGCACCATGTGCAGAGCCATGTGGTGAGTTTAAGGCTCAGTTCATATTGTCAGAAAAGACTGCAGGTGCACAATAAAGCGGTCCAGACTGAGAAAGTCTCTAAACAGGTACCGTTTAAAAAAAAAAAAAAGAGTATAGACAGTCATAGAAAAAAATAGTTTAAAAATAATGAAGTCTTTAAAGAGAGAATAATCTCAAAAGAATAAGACACATAAGGATGGGAGATATACAGGACATCTGGATCCTGTATGGTGCTTTCTTAACTTTGAATTTTTAAATGCTAATGAACAAAAACAATAGCTTCCAAGAGACATTGGATTATGGAAACTACTAAATTAAATCAACCTATATATTTTAAGAATGCCTTAACTTCAGAATGGAAGTCAGGAAATGTGTGTGTTGGGGAAGAGGCAGTACTTTTGTTTCCACAGGAAATGAAAAACTATGGATTTCTTCAGAATTAATGAATATCAGATTTGATTGAGGGAGACTTAAGTCTTGACTATAGACATAAAGGAAAAAAGCCAAGAAAGACTACAGAACAGTGACTCATATGCCGATCCCTCAACATGGGAACACCTGAAACTGGGTGAACATGATAAATCTTGTTGGTCACAGAGGACTCATGACTTATTATTACATGCCATTCTTTCATATGGCATGAATAGAGGTTTGGTTGTATAGTCAAAACCAACTTGTAAAACAGATGCCTTTTCCCTGTTCAAACATAAAACAGGGGCTGGAGAGATGGCTCAGAGGTTAAGAGTACTGACTGCTCTTCCAGAGGACCCGGGTTCAATTCCCAGCACCCACATGGCAGTTCACAACTGTCTGAAGATCCAGTTGCAGGAGATCTGACACCTTCACACCAATGAACATAAAATAAAGTTAAATAAACCATAAAAATATTAAAAAAAACATAAAACAAAAGCTTATCTTTAGCATACCGCATATTCCCTACATGTGTTAATACAGATATATATTACCTTTAAAATTTATGTCTTTTCAGAGAAAAAGGACCAGACACCTGTTGTGGAATAGAATATTTGTTTAACTAAGTAAAGATGCGTTACATTTGTTTGTGTTGCAGAATATTTGTTTAACAATACAGAGGTGTTGCTTTTGTTTATGCTGCATTTGCTTAACTATGTAAAGATGTGTTGCTTTTGTTCATACTGTATTTATTTAATTAAGTAAAGATGTGCTCCATTTGCTTGTGTTGCAGAATAATTGACTATGTAAAGATGTGATGCTGTTTTACTTTGTTTACCTAAGGCACCTGGTAATAATTGGTCTAATAAAAAGTTGAATGGCCAATAGGCAGAGGAGGGATAGGCGTGACTGGTGGGCAGAGAGAAAAGGGGAGCCAGCCAGCCAGCTGGGGGCCAGCAAACTAGGGACCAGCCAGCCAGACATGGAGGAAGCAGGAAAGCAGGATGGATAGTATGCAGATGAGGTAAGTGAGCCTCAGGGCAGCACATAGATGAATAGAAATGGGTTAATTTAAGTTTTTTTTTAAAAAAAGAGCTAGGGGGCTGGAGAGATGGCTCAGAGGTTAAGAGCAATGCCTGCTCTTCCAAAGTCCTGAGTTCAATTCCCAGCAACCACATGGTGGCTCACAACCATCTGTAATGGGGTCTGGTGCCCTCCTCTGGCCTGCATGCGTACACACAGACAGAATATGGTATACATAATAAATAAATAAATATAAAAAAATAAAATAAAAAGAGCTAGCTAGAAATGTGCCTAATCTAAGGCCTGGTATTCATGATTAATAAGTCTCCATGTCATGACTTGGGAGCTGGCGGTCCAAGAAAGCCTGCTACAGACGCCAATAAAGACAAGTAGCCCGGGTGATCCAACCTCTCAGAGTGACTCTGTTACAGTTTCTTCACAGTTCTGCATCCAGAACAATTTCAAGGCTGCTAGCTGAGATGGTCCAGCCTCACAGACTATCCAAACAAGAATTAAGATAAGCTCTAGACTTTCCCATCACACAGAGACTAAACAAAAATAATACAACTAGCTCTCCCAAGACTTGACCCCTATCTCAGTTTTCTCAAGGTCGCCTAAAGATGTCGTTGCCCTCAGACAACAGAAAGTAGGTTTTTTTTTAAAGTTTTATTTATTTATTTACTTATTATGTATACAACATTCTTTCCATGTATGCTTGCATGCCAGAAGAGGGCGCCAGATCTCATTATAGATGGCTGTGAGCCACCATGTGGTTGCTGGGA